ATGACTCTGACCTGGAAACTCATTCTCCCAGGTGCATAAGATGTGTATTTTCTGAAGCCTAACCGGTTAAGAAAACTATCTGGAAAACTGAAGTAAAATATAAAGATGTAGTTATAATATGACATAACTTTAAGATCTTTTGCAGAGATTTAAAAGAATAAGACAGACTGATGTCACCTGGTAAGGAAAGATCTCCAAGACATAATGTGGAAAGAAACATATTGAGAAACATATTGAAAAAGAAATACATTGTAAGAATTTATGAATAGTATAAATAATAAAGAATCATATCATTTATGTTTTTTCAAAAGTCCCACAAATACACTGTTTCTTAGAAGTGCATGTATATGCTTACAACTCTACAGAGAGAGACATGGAAGGATGTACACCAAACCAAACATGGTCAATCCTTTTGGAAAGAGAGCCAAGACTGAGGTTATGGCCCAGGGGATTTTTGTCTTCTGTTATATTTGAAATTCCTTTTTGTTTTTCACACTAATACTGAGTGTGTGAAGGAGGAATGTATAAAATTGATCATGTTTACACCTCATGTCCTGTTATGAAAAGACAAATCATTTTGTTTACATGAACAGAGAAATTCTTTCCTTTGTCTTAAAATACAGATTTGGAATTATCCCTTCATTACTTCTCCCAATATATTTTTCCTTTTGGAAAAAAGGTGGTCTCTATATTCATCTTTCTTGGAAATCTAATACTGTTGACATCATAGTAATGATATTAATGCTGCAGTATCACTGGAATTTTTCCCCTACTGGAGACTCCATTTGAAAGCTTTTTCCTTAGATATTTTAAATCCACCCATAAACATTTCTCAGAAACTGGTCATGAGAGGTTTGAATCCTAGTCCTTGAGGGGAAAAAATAAAAGCTGAAAATTCTGTACAGTTACATGGGAACACTGAAATGAGAGTATATTTAATGAAAATAATTTAATGATACATGTTCATGAGTGCAGCATGATAATTCAATACAAGTATTGTTGGTGGGAATGTAAACTAGTGCAACCACTATGGAAATAACTATGTAGAGTCCTCAAAAAATTAAAACTAGTAACCCCATTTGACCCAGCTATTCCTCTTCTAAGTATCTTCCTGGGTTAAAGACATCATGTTATAGTGATACATACTCATGTTCATAGTAGCACAATTCACAATAGCTAAATCTTGGAAGCAGCCTATATGTCCATCAACAGATGAGTGGATAAAGAAAATACAGTGTTTATACACAATGAAATCCTGCTCTGCTATAAAGAAGGATAGATCTGAGTCATTTGTAGGAAAATGGAAGCACTTTGAGACCAGTGTTAAGTGAAATATATCAGGCATACAAGTTTAAATATCAAATTATTTCTCTTATATAAGAAATCAAAAGTATAAATAAATTAAAGTTTAAAATAAAAGAGATAGTAGGAAACAAGTAGATAAATCTTTTGCAAATGGGGAGAAGACCAAGAGATGGAGAGAGGGTAGAGGAAAGAGATGTAAAAAAACTAAGATGTGTTCTGTACATGTACCGACCCGCGTGGTGAATGTAGTCATTATGTACTGCAAATATGTACTAACAAAAATAAAAATTTTTTAAATTTCAACACAGCTATACAATGGATAGGGATGAAATCAAGGGTAATTAACATTTCCAGCTTTTAAAACATTCGATATTCCTTATTTTAAATTCTTATAGAGGGGAAGTACTCATAGATGATTTGTGAATTATAAAGAGCTGGTGCTAGGCTGGGGAGGTGGCTCAAGGGTAGAGCGCTTGCATAGCATGTGCTAAGCCCTGGGTCCAATTTTCTCCCATATCTCACCAGAGAAGCAAACATAAACAGTTACAAGTAAAAGTAACTGAACCTAGGACAGCTCGTATGATCAATTTGGGTGTGCTATTTCCTTCTGCAGACCTCAGTTTTCCCATCTGTATAATAGCATGTTGCACTAACAATGCCAATGTTTCTTTCCAACTCAGAATGTCCAGAATCTTCAAATCATAAATACAAGGAGTCACTGAAAGATACAGTTAATATTTAAATTAAAATAAAAGTTATTACAGCAAAAGACACATAGCCAGGAACAAGCAGATAAGCATGTTCAAAGCAAGCGGGAGTGTTTTAAATATTTTAAGGGGGAGGAGTGTCAATGTGTCTTTTATTGTAATACACTTTTAAATTTAAATATCTACCATGTTTTATGATCACTCCTCACTGATCAAATGTTTACAGCAATTTCTACCAAATAAAAACATCATGGTGTGCCTTTATTCTCCTTATTCATTGGATCTGGCATTGTGCAACTTCTGTCTCTTCCTCAAAGTTAAAGTGACCTTGAAAGGTAAAACATTTTCAGTCAGTTTAGGACATCAAGGCAACTATGACAATACAAAGAAAAACACTCATGAAAAAGACTCCCAAAACTGCTTCAGAACGCAGCAAGAATGAAGGGATAAATGTATTCGAAGCAAGAGGGAGTATTTTGAGGGGGAGCAATGGCAGCATGTCTTGTTCTGCATTAAATATTTAAACAAATTTTTAAAATATTGACCATATTTTTGGATCATATCTTGTATATTCAAAAGTTTTAGGCTTTATCGCATGAGATCCAGCATTCTGTAGTAATCTACAGAATGGTGAATGTTGAACAGTAATCCTTAGTAGGATGAATAATAGGCCAAATTTGTCAGCAAACTGCCAGGTGAGTGTTCCGCTCAAACCTAGGTTCCATTTCGGACTCTTCCTCCTACCTGCTGTGTGATAGTGAGTGAATTATTGACCCTCTCTGAGCCACGGCCCATACTGTGTTGTCGCCAAATATGGTTAGTATCTCTGCTTCAGCTTTGGTGCTATGGTCAGTTATTCACTCAACAAATAGTACTGATCACCTACTGTGAGCCAGCCCCAGAACATGGACATGAACATGGACAAGGAGTCCTTTCTTATAAATGTGAAAATAATTTGCCTCTGCGCTGTCAGGTAGCTGCACTCTGAGCTGCATGTGAACACACCTGGGATTTGGCAGGGAGGAAGGAAAAGGGGAGAGAGATCAGAACAGGTCTCCTGGGGCTGCAGGGGAGCCGGCCTGCTGAAGGGCAGCTGCAGGAGCTGGGGTACCAGCAGGGCATTGGACCCCTGCTCACCCCTTCTGGATCTCAGATTTTTCCCTAATACATGAGTAATGACACCCACCTCTGCGATCCTCTGAGCATCACAAAGATATTGATGCTTATAAAGCCACTGATGTCCTGAAGTTCTATCCTGCTATCAGGCTCTGAGTGAGAAGCGGCTTTTGTATCATCATGTTATTCCTCCTAACCACCCCACCCCTGTGCACTCCCAAGAACACATGACCAGAGAAGTTAAACAACCCGCCCCAAACCTCACAGCTGCAGATGTGCAAATGGAGAATTGGAATCCAGATGCTCTGACTTTAGACCATGAGCTGAAACCACCATACCCACCACCACCCAGGCAAACAGGTACCAAACAACTGAGTATATAACCCATGGGCTACAGGTACTTTCCCTGCACCTCATAATTTACTTATGGATCTTGGATAGCACGTGACTGAGGGTTTGCACACTGCGCCGGTGCCCTCTGGCTCTGTTCTGCTGCCTCACCCCTGGGCACACAGGGGAAAGAAGGCAGAGAAGACAAATCCTCCTTTTTGTGGAGGACATGCTTCCTTCTCCACAAAGACCTTTGTTTTTAATTAAGAGCAGTAATCGCATGATCTTGCTTTAATGAACTCCCCAGATGATCCACATTCCTTGAGCCCTCCTTTGATATTTTCCACATCAAATCTTTCAGCCTAAGATTATCTGCAGTCATGTGCCAGACATTTGCCATTGACCGCATCTGCCCGATAGGTTAGCATGAACTCCCGCCCCTTCTTTTCGTGGAGACGGCCCTCCGTTTCATATGGGGTCATCTGGGTTGGCTCCAGTCATCTGTGATTTCCCTTTCTAGCTTATCGCTTTGGTCCTTCTGTTATCACAGCAGCAGTGTATATTTCATCTCAATTATGCATCCGTTTAATCCATGATTTCTGATTTATAGCCATTAAGTCCTAATTACAAGAGTGCTGCCCTTGAAAGAGAAAAACCAAGTGAGCTCAGAGAAATGGAACTGGAAGGCAAGAAGGAAAGGGAATTTAATTCATGTAGCTAAGAATGAGGCCCAAGCGCCATTTGTTGAGGAAACCTGTTGTGGGCAGTCCTATAGATCTGTGCACGTCCTATTTTGGCTGTGGTGGTAGGGAAATTATAAAGTCCTAATATACAGATAAAGTCAAAAATCTTAGAGTGAGAATTCATCCAGCTCAACTTAATTTTTCCCTCCTTCCCTTCTTCTTTCTTTCCTTTTCTTCCCCTCTTCTTTTTATTTTAGACAGTGTCTCACTCAGTTGCCCAGTTTGGCCTTGAATTCCTGGGCTCGAGTGACCCTCTTGACTCAGTTTACTGAATAGCTGGCACTACAGATACAGGACATCATACTTGGTTTCAGCCCAATTTTATGGCTCCCCATTTAAAAACCACAACCAAAAACAGAACAAAACAAAACCCTTAAGTGACTATGTTTGTAAAGGGACGTTTAAATCCATAGCTATCTGTAAGTGGAAAACTAGTATGACTTGCCCTAAATAGAAAGCAACTATAACAACTGCTGCTTTTAAAAGTTTATACTGTACTATTTAAAACCACCAGAACACTATGCTTCAGAGAGGACTGCTTTGGATCCTCATCATATCAATCATTTGAGTCAGTGAATACAATTACATTCCACATTTTTCAGGATAAGGAAGTACAGACAAAAAGGGTAAGTGACTTGCTTGAAGTCATAAGCTAGGAAGTGGCAGGTCACACCTCAAACTAGCAGGGCCACAACACCCTTGCCTAGGCCAAAGGGAATGGAAAAGTTGAACAACACCCTGCAAAATCTAAAACCATGGAGCTACTGCCCACCCAGAGGCAGCAGGGTGGTACTCTTACCTGGAGCTGCGGAGGCAGCTGCTAGTAGCTGACTGTCGAGAAGGTGTCCTCATGGTGTCTGTAGCCAGGGACAGAGTACAGCTCAACCAAGACTGCAGACTGCCCTCAGGCTGGGAGCTGATGATGGAGACATTATCCCTGGAATCAGAATGCAGGGCACCATTGTCACAATGACAACCACAGTAATGGCAATTACTAGACACTCCATAGGGTAAGCCAGGCATTGTGCTAAGTGCCATATGTACATAACCTCGCTCAGCATCCATCTGAGGTGGGAGTCAGTGCTGTTCTCATTACATATCACAAAGTACTGGGATTTGTACAGGCCTACCTGGGTCTTGGCCAAGGTCACCCAGCTAGTCAACAATGAAGTTGGCAGGTGCAAACCCTGCTCTTTTGATTCCCCTTTCCATGCTACTAGCCACTGCACTCCTCCTTCAGGACATACACACTCCAATAAGATGTTGAGGCTCTTGTTTTAGGAATCAAATGAGGCAATGAATTTTATACCAAATGATATGTTCAGGGAATATGTCAAGTGCAGAGGCCTTAACTCCTTCCTTACCTCAACTGGAATATGTCTGTGAACTGAGAGTTTATGTTTACAGCCTCTGATTCTGAAAGGAGCACAGGGAGAAATCTATATGAATATTCAATACTTATTTTCTATTTGATATACTCAGTATTATGTGTCTGAGCAGTGGTGTGTGTGTGTATGTGTGTGTGTGCATGCACCGTGTGATTGTACAGCAGAAACTCATCCTCTCTGAGCTTCCTGTCTTTCTTTGTAAAATGGGGCTAATGATAGGGCCCTGCCTCCTATGTTGGGAGCAGAGTAAATAAGATCAACCTTGTAAGTTTCTCAGTATGGTTCCTGGCAAACAGATAGTGGTAACAGATTAAATGGTAGCAAACATAACCACTATTTTTTTTCTTTAGTAGAACCAGTACTGGTTTGTTCATAGGACACTCTATGCCAGTCAGTATGGAAGGGGAGCTACACACAAGATCTAAACACTGACTTTGTCTTCAAGACCCCATCCAAACAGGCCAAATAAATACACATTTGTACACACAGCCAGGACATATGAGAAAAATGATTACTAGTGTGGAAAAGGACTGAGGGCCAGTTCGAAGAACAATAAGTGGGGAATCTTGCTGTGCTTCGTAGAGGCACATAGCAGGCTCCAAGCCTTCTATGAAGATTAAGCTATTCAGCTGTTCAACTTGGCCACACAGGGGCTGGAGACAAAAGTTCCTGGAGGAAAGTACAGTAAACATATCTGTATGGAGGACCCAAAAGGTCAGGGCATAGACACTATGTACAGCAGGAATCACAGGTAGAGAAGGAAAGTAAGGTCAAACTGTACAGGACACAAATGTTCATCCAAAAAAGACCATTCTGAGGCAATTTGGGAACTATTGAGGTGTCTGAGGACATGGGGTTCTCTCTAAATTGGAAGGGGAATCTTACGTCCCCCATGCAATCTTATGACCATGAAGTCAGAGCTCTCACGGGCATTGCTAGTAATTCTCCCAGTGAGCGTGAATGTTTCCTCTGCACACAATACACAGCCAGGGGCTCACCTTTGGTAAGCTACTCAGTTCTACTCAGGGTTAACTTACATTTCTTTTCTGCCTCCATTGCCACAGTCCACTGCTGTCTGGACACTAGAGGGGGCAGAGAGAGAGTGTGTTATACCTGAGCTGCCACGGGCTAGGTAAGATGGTCATTAACATTAGACACAGTAGGGTTCAAATCCCACTTACAACTGTTGCTGCTATGTGACTGTAGCCAGTAACTTATTTTCTGTGAGCTTCCTGTCTTCCTTTGTAAAATGGGGCTAATAATAGGGACCTATCTCCAGAGCTGGGAAGCAGAGTAAGTGAGATTACCCTTGTAAATTTCTCAGCATGGTTCCTGGCAAACAGATAGTGCTAATTAAATGGTATCAACCATTACCACTACTTTTTTTTAGTACAACCAGTGCTGCTGTTATTAATAGCTTTGTTACTACCAACAAGTAAGGCATTTGCTTTATTTCTTAGTGAAGCTGGCACATCAGACCCAGGGCAAAGTAGCTTCTCAAGGAATTGTGGGAAACTCTAAACTAATTACAATAGTAGCTATTCTTGTAGAGGAAATCCCTTCTTTCAGCAAATATGCTGTGCTCACAATTTCATCCGCCTAACCCATGCAAATCTGTTTTAAAGATGAGGAACTGGACATTCTGTCTGAGGTCATGCAGCTTTGAATCACAGATCTGTAGGGTCTATGAAAGTCATGCTCCTGAATGCAGATCACCAAACCACAATCTTCAGGGACCCACAGAATCACCTAATCCTGAGTCCTCAGGCTGGACCCTTCCAGCTGGCTTCTGCATGGTTCCTTTCTTGAAAGACCTGCACACTTTTTTTGAGGGGTGCACCTGCTACTCCTTGGTCCTTACCCTCAAAGACCTATTCTATTTACATGCATCTGTCCCCATGAACTGGGATACCACTTGTCCATGATGTCTTATTTGTCCTTCAGCTCCAGGGTTCACCAGAGCTTATGACAGATCAGTTGGTGATTCAGCAGAAAAGGGGTCAGGAAAGTATGGGCCATGGGCCAAGTCTAACCTATTGTCTATTTTTATAACTAAAGGTCTTCTGTCTGTGACTTCTTTTACACTATGTATGATAACAAAGTAGAGTAGTTGCAACAGAGATTATATAAGCCCCCAAAGGCTAAATATTTACTATCTGGCCTTTTAATGAAAAAACCCTACAATGGAACAAAAGCAATGTTCTGTGAATATCCCCAACAGGAGACGGAATAATGACTTCCCAAAATGTCCACATCCTAACCTAATCTAAGACCATGGAACTATGTCTTTTTACACAGTGAAAGCTTTATTGGAACTCAGGCACACTCATTAATTTGCATTTGGAAGACTTGCTCATACACTTTGTTTAACTGAACACCAACCTTTACTTGGACAATAGTCAGGAGAGTTTTCTAGTCTGATCACTAATCAGAGCACACACTGGTGCTAATTCTTCTCCATGCAAAGACCTAGCAGGCTCTGTGAGTTACTCCTCACAAGTGGGCTCAGCATTCAGACTGACCTTCTCCTGAAGGGACTCCTTCCTCCACTGCCAGAGGCCCATTTGCTCTGTGATGTCCAGCTGTGCTGGATACTGAGTCTTATCTCTTTTTTCCTCTCCCACACTCACTGCAGTTTCCCCTCACTATGTGCCCTAGGGCTGACCTATAAGGATCGCATCCATCGGCTTCTTGCCACTACAGCTGCCCCCTGGGCTCAGCCAATGGGGAATTCAAATGACAGTAGGAAGGAAGAAGGGAAGAGAAGGAGAATGGAGAATTTATTCTCCTGGAGTTTTCTCCAGTGCATTTCCTATGCCGATTCTGGCCAGTCTCTCCCACTTTGGAAAAAAAAAAGAGGAGTTTCTATTTAAAAGAGGTTAGAATCCACTGGCCCTTCCACCATGCAAAAAGTGGGATGCACATTCCTCAAGGCAGTTTGTTCCCTCACATCCAGTCTGAAGCCCTCTCTATAGTGCTCTCCCTCCCTCTCCCACTCTCTCTATCCCTGTTCCTTCTCATTTCCTCCCTCCCTCTCTTCCCGACCCACTTCCTTCTCCCTCCCTCCCCTTCCTCTGCTCTTCTTCCTGGAACCCAGCACTTGCATGACCTTCTCACTCCCTCAGACCTACTGGCAACTTCTCTCAGCTGTTGCTAGGCCCTGAGTGCCACACCATCCTCTGGGGGCTCCCTACACACAGAGCTCTAGAAGTAGTCCCTTTAAGTTTTCTTCATTTGGGATTTGCTTTCTGGTTCCTTCTAGACTCTATTACCATAGTTTATCTCCATGCTGGATCCGACCTTAAGGGGAAAACCTGGATTTGTGAGCCAATATTTCACATGATAAACAAGCAGAGAGGAGGCACAGCCCATCACTGCACTGCTAAACCCTGCTATGTGGGAGGGAAAAAAAACCACGGTAAAGAATATAAAGTGGCAAAGATTATAAGCAATCATTATTATCCCCTGTAAGCCTCTGACTTTGGAAAAGAACAAACCACGAGGACAAATAAAAAGATGCAGGTATGGATGCCTGTTAGTCCTACATCTTCATAGTAACCATGTCCTGCTTCTCGCTGCCTGTGAACCTGCATCACTGGATCTGGCACAAGACCTCTGACGCAGAAGTTGAGAGCTGCCAGGTGATCTAATTGTCCACTCAGGATGAAATACTGCCCAGAGCAAAGGTGATCTCCAGTCTGGGCCACACATCTGTCATTTGAGAAGCTTTAGTAAAATAGAGTGTACTTAAAATAAGGAGGATGGATCGAGAACATCTGAGAACTACGTCCCATATTTGTTGTCGGAGCCAATGCTGAAAGCACCTAACACCTTTATTGTGAGATGGTATGGGGTGGACGTTTGGGGAGGGATTGGTGAAATACTTTCCAGCAGATGCAGGGACAGTTTTGTTCTGCCTGCTTCAGAGAAGCACTAAACAGATGGAGTAGAAATAACCACTATGTTGCCTTGACACACATCACAGACTGTTGTTCTCAGAAGGTACTTGAGTCTGTACACCATGATGCTTGGAGCCTTGAGCCATGGGAGACCTCATGGAGGTTTCCTTGGGGTCAGGAAGAGAGACTAGAGGGACAGCTCACCTCCACATCCTCCCCAATGATAGCTGCACTCCCTCCTAAACTAGAACTTTCTTTGGAATAAAAAAAGAAGAGTTTCCATTTAAAAGAGGGAATTTAGAATCCACTGGCCTTTCCACCATGCAAAAAGTGGGATGCACATTCCTCAAGGCAATTTTTTCCCTCACATCCAGTTTGAACACAGAAAGTGCCCAGTGGTTATTATCCACTGAAGAGGTATGCAAAGGCCCCAGAGGGGTTGAAGACCTTTCCATGGTCCTGATCCATTTGGAGGCACAGCTGGGAATGGAACCCTCATCTCTTGACCAAAGGCCAGTAGTCCTTTCTCACCTTGGTGCATGTGGATTTTTAAAAAAGAATTGGTGCTAGAAATTTGTAAACAAGAGACTGATGATAAGAAAGGTAATTGATTAAATGTCTTCAGATGTATTCCTTTAGGGTGAGTCTTTGCCAGACAACAGCAGTCTAAATGCAAATATTGCCTGGGAAATAATGCATCAATTCATCAGCCCCATATCTCAGTGACAGATACAAGTTCACCATCATGACAGGCCAGCTACTAGGCAGAGAACAGAGACCTTGACAGAGGAAGGAGGAAATGTGCTATGCTTTACTTGACTGCAGGGCTTGACAATCAGAAGCATAGGTGATAGTGTCAGCCTGATTATCAAACCATGGCTCCATCACTTACCGTGCAGGTTTAGGAAAGATTCTTGACTTCAGTGAACCTCAGTTTCCTCATCTACAATCTGAGAATTTTAATGATAAGAACTTTAGAATGGGGTGCTAGGGATTTAGCTCAGCGGCACAGTGCTTGCCTGGCAAGCACAAGATCATGAGTTCGGTTCCTAGTACTGGAAACAAACAAACAAACAAACAAAACTTTAGACTTGTTGTGGGGACAGTGAATGGGAAACAGGTGGCAGAGTAACCAGCACAAAGTCTTCCAGAAAGGGTACTTTTATTACATTTATCATACTTCCTGCAGTGCCAAAGTAGATATATATTTTGGAGCTCTGATTCCCAGTGACTCGCAGTAGCTGGGTATCTGGGCTAGAAGTTTGCTCAGAAAGCAATAGAACTGTGCAGCAGCATTTAACGGGGTGCTCTTCTGCACCAGAGCCCCGTGCTATAAAGGTGAGGTGTCAACCTTTTCAAGCTGTTGTAGTTTAGATTTAAACTGTCTCCCAGACATTTCACATGTTTGGAAGGTGACTGGATCATGAGGGCACTGTACATCAGTAGATTTGTCCACTAATGAGATGGGTAGCTAACAGTGCTACTAGAAAGTGAGGCCTGGTTGGGGTTGAGCCCTTCAGGATGTGACCTGGAAGGATGTATTCTTCTCCAGGGCTGCTCCTTTTTTTCTCTGCTTCTGGCTGCCATGGGGATGGCACCTTTCCTCTCCCATACTCTGCTTCCCATCATGCTTTTGAGCCAACCAACCATGGACTGCATCCTCCAAAAGCTGCAAGCCAAAATAATTCCTCTCTTCCTTTAAGCTGTGGTTGTTGAGTATTGTGTCCTAGTGATGGGAAAATTACTAACAGATAGGCTAATAGAGAAATCTTCCAAGCTGTCCTTCCAGCTCTGGAGCAAGCTCATTACTCATGCAGGTAGATAGTACAAACTAAAAGAGAAGATAATTACAAGACAAGGGCCATTGGCAGTCCCAAAGATTGTTCTACTACGAAGCAGGAAACTTTATAATCTGGCCACAGCCTGGGTCCTTTAGTAAATAAATGAACTCAGAAGAATGTTCCCAGTGGCAGCCACATCTACAGTGACACCCAGGTGAGCCCATATCCTACTTTTGCCAGGTTATCAAAGGATGTGCGTTGGAAAATGTGTGTCACATACTCACCCCACCCAATAGAAGACTTTTCTGGAGGATTCATCTCAGACTGACCCAGCTGGAATGGGCGTCCTTTTAGCTGACTCTGAAGTCAGACGTCATCCAATGACCTCTCCACACCTCCCTCAAACCCCAAGCTGTGGCAAGAGAGCAGCTGCAGGCTCTAGGCTAGAAATAGATGGGCTTATTTGTCAGCCAGTGCAGCCTTCTCTCCATGAATAATGGGAATCAACTTAAAGCATTTCGCCATTAATATAAGAAGATAGATGCCACAGTCTGTTACAATGGTGAGGCCCTGATGCAGGGGAGAAAACGCTGAAATGCTGTACACACGTCGCCTGACTTTCTGAGCACGTAGCAGCATTTCCAGCCTGGAAGGCCTGTTACACTCAGATCTAATTGGCAACATGGGGAAATGTGACTTCATAATTGTAATTTAAACAAAGTCTCTCAAAGAACCGCACTTGCAGCTGAAGCATCTATCCCTCTCCCCCAATGTATTCTCTAGCCCTATCTCTATCCCCCCCACACCTTTCTCTCCTCTCTCTGTCTCTCTCTCTCTCTCCCTCCTCAGGTGGGTTTGAATCCTAATTGAGAGATCAGTTCAAAGAAGTATCTCAGACTCATCCCTCAGGCCCCAATCCAAAGCTCTTATTGCAGGTGATAAGACAATTAGAAGAACAGTGCAGCCTGCTGGACCTGCCAAGAAAGGGAAGAATCCAGGCTGGCCCTTGGGTGGGAGCTGATGATCCTGCTCTGGGCAGCAGATCCACAGCCTAACAACACATACACTTCTTTTTATTGTTCATAACCAGTGTAATCACACGGTGGTCAGAGACCACGCTTTGTACATTATTAATTCCTTGAAACGTGTTGAGACTTCTTTGTAGGTAATTTTCCCCAGTTCCTCCATTCTTGTGATATTAGGGAAATCTATGCTGTGTTTCAGTCTCAAAAATCTGAGCTATAAGACAATGAGTTAGGACCAAGAACTGCAAAGAATTAGGAAATGGTCCCTAAGAACCAAGCTGAGGGCAGGGCTGGCTGCATGGTGTGTGACACAGGCCACATTTGTCTTAATGCTCAGCCATCTCTGTCTTGAAATTTTATATTTTAGAACAAGAAGGCCCAAATTTTCATTTTATTCTGAACCTCACAAATGATGGGGCCAGTTCTCCCCGGGATTTGGGGGTACTTTAAAGACCCAAAGGTCTTGTGGGTTTTCCATGGGTCATTTTGAGAGAGGAAGAAAGATGGGAGAAAAGGAAAAGGGGTGGATGGAGAAAGTGCAAAGGGGAGAAAGAGCCACTTTGCCTTCATTTCCCATACCTAGGAGCACTGCTCTCACTTTCTAGAGTACGACCCTCCTCCCTATCCAATCCACCCTCTCCAGATCTTCCCAGAGCTGCCTCCTCCTCCTGCTGCAGGTCTCCTGCCAAAGCCTTCCTCCTGACGGGTTGTGTCTACCAACCCTGCAAGTCACCAGGGCACCACGTTCTCTGCCCTCACAACTCCGAATATATCCTCTTGTTTTATATGTCAGTGTACTCAGTTTATTCACGGACACACAGACACACACACACACGCACACGCACACGCACACACAGACAGTCCGTCTCAAGCTTCTCTACAGTCCTCAGCAATGTAACAAACCAAGGCTCCAGCCCTAGCACTATTAACTTCCACCTGATTTCAGGCCAGCCATAACTGCTAACAAGAAGTAAGTGGAATGACACAAGCACCCAGCATGGTGTTCGGCCATGCTTAGAATAGGTGCTGAGTAAGAATTTATCAAATGAATGAATTAATGCAAGTAATTGACAAGGGTTGACAAAGGTTAAGCTGCTAACATATACAAGGTTCTGGGCTACAGAATCGTGGTTTTTTCGCCCTTTTGTTGCTAATTTGCCTTAGAGATGAAGAGACTGAGGGTTAAAGAGATTGAATAACTTATTCAAGGTCATACTGAAATTTAACTATGGGAGCCTTAATTGGAAATCAAGCTTTTCGAAATGCCAAGCCTATGGGAGCCCCAGTTCTTCCCCCACGTCCAACTGCAGGAGTTCTACTCTTTGCCTGGAGCTTTTCCAGGTACAAGATGCATTTCTCTTTAAACTTGGTGTTCAGTAGTCATTCCACACCTCACAGCAACCCTGAAATGCAAATGAGCTCTCCTCCAACCTTCGTAAGTATGAGGCAGGTGCTGTGTGGGAACTAAACACCCAGGCAGGGAAAAGACACCAGAAACTCAGCAGAAATGAAGGTTTAAGGTCCCAGAACCCCTAATCATGAATAGGCAGATAGAAAGCCACAGTTCAGGCTGGATTCCTCGGTTCCCGGGGCCTGAATCTCAGAAAAGATGGAAAAGAACAGAGGATGAGCCTTACAACTGGAAGAAACATAGATAAAGGGGTGTCCTAGTAGGATGAGGGTGACGCCAGGGTCCCTGTACAGCCAGGGAAGAGCCCTGTGAGCAGAGACTGGTGTGAAGTCCGCCATTCACTCAGTGAGAAGTCTGTTCCTCCTTTCTTGTCAAAACATCTGGCCAGCCTGTTACCCACACCCCGAAGCACACACCCTCTGCCTCTTTCCAAGTTATTTCTCTTTTTAACTTTTATTGTTTTTTAGAAAAACAATCTCTTACTATACAAATGAGAATGATTCAAAAATGGCTGCTTATTGGCCCAAGAGCCTAGTACCCACAGCCATTCATTTTCACACACACAAATGCAGATGCACTGGCATCCTAGTAATGAAAAAGCCAGCCAAAGTGTCAAGCATGTAAGTCCACAAAAGGGGTCTGTACTTACAGATGGTGATTCTGGCGTAACACTAATAAAACAAGGAGGAAGTGTGGAGAGGGGGACCCTAAAACCAGTCAGGAGCTGGAAGCTGCTACAACATCACTATTTGCCATTTTGCCAAGAGTTTGGCAGCTGTGCAAATCAGCAGAAAATGGTGGAGAAACTTGGAATATGCATGGAAGTCACTTTTGCACACACTCAGGAAGACTTTAGATGAAGCTCTTTATTTAGAGGAGAGAACTTTGGGTTTTAGAGTCCACAGGATCTGTCTTTTGCTGTTGAGCATGAACATCTGTATGGGAGAATTGGAGGCTGCAAATCTCCAAGTAGCTATGATCAAAATTAAGTGTAAAAATTAAGTGTAAAAATGTACACAACTGAGTCAGATATGGTAGCACACACCTGTGATCCCAGCTATTTGCAAGGCTGAGTCAGGAGAATCACAAGTTCAAGGTCAGCCTAGGCAAGTTAGCAAGATTCTGTCTCAAAATAAAATTTTGAACAAGGAGAGGGGACTGGTTACATAGCTTAGTGGCTGAGCCCTTGCCTAGCATGTGCAAGGCCCTGAGTCATATATATATATATATACACTCACTGCACAGATTATAGAAAATATAAATAAGCTCAAAGAAAAAAGTCCTTAATAATGCCTTCCCTCAGTGATAGAATGCTGGTTGCTTATATATAGTCTTTTTTCTTAACTACACATGCTCCTATCTCTAACACAAATATCTCATTCTTCCCAAGGGCTAAACAAGAGCCCACTAATGCCCCTCTCTGCTTCCCTGGCCTGTCTCACACCTGCACCTCTAACAGACAGTAGCCACTCCCTTCACTCTCAGAAAGGGGAGATGGCAAAACTCTGTAGAAAACTCAGCAGACCTGCCTTCTAACTCTATATTATTATGCTAAATTGGTGTGTGTGAACTTCTCTGAGTCCAAGGTCTTCAGAGAGCTGCAAGCAGTCCAGTGTCATAGATCTGACTGTTCTGACTATAGGACAGACCAGACTTCCCAGAGAGGAAGACCAAACTGCATGGGTTTGTAAGACCAAACAGCACAGGGCTTTGCGGGTTTGGAAGGGAACTATATGTGCTGGTTCTCTGTTGCAAAGCTTTGCAAAAAGAAAGGTCTTTCTCTGCTGCCCAAGCTGTGCCATGCAGTCTGCACCAGAGTTCCATCCAGCTAGACTGGCAGCTGTGGTTCCAGGAGAAGCAACAAGCTGGAGTGTTATAAAGGCAGCTCCTGGAAATGAGGTGCTCTGACTTTCTGGAGGGGTAGGATAGCCTGGGTCCCTGAGTCCAGCTGGGACACTTCAAGCTCCTTCTAGCTGAGCAGCCCTTCATATTCCATGACCTGTGGAAACTTGAGACTGAAAAAAAGATAGGAAGTGGTCTACCTTTTGAGATAGGCAAGAGAAGCCCTAGCATTGAGCTTGGGTGGTCTCCTCACCCTTTGATCTGGCATCTCTGAATCAACCCCTGCCTTCATAAAACAGCACTCATTATTCTGCACAAATGCAGCTCACCCTTATGGACCCCAGCACTGCTCTCAGTGATACTGTGCATGCACACTAATGTGTCAGGTAAAACCTCTGGTCTGCAGGTCAAAAATGGTCGCGTCTTGGTAATTTCATGTAGTTCATCCTGATGCTATTTTGTCTACTTCACAAATGAAGGAGCTGGACCCCCACTGGACATACAGCTTTCCCAGTTGTACATGCTGGGGTTCACTTTCCAGCCATGGTGCTGCACCCAAGGTATGCTGAGCAAAGCCAGCTGGTCCCGGCAGTAACAAGGAGAAATCAACTCCAGCAGGGTAACATTCTCTCTACCCACCCCAGGAGTCTCCTTATACCTCCGATTCCCAAATGCCTCGGAGTTTCCCTGCAGAAGTGTCTTTGGACCCACTGAACCCCACACTGCAGAGCTCCCCAGGGTACAGCCCTCTGCTGCATCCAGCCCCACCTCGTCCCTTGCAGGTTACCTCTCCGAATCACTGTCACTGGACACCACCTCTTCCAAGGCAGCCTGCAGGTCAGCAATGCGCCGGATGGACGTCTCCAGGTCTGTCTGCAGCGTCTGTCTCACTGTGCCGAGCTCCTCCACGTACTTCTCCTAGAGACAGAGACAGACCACAAGCCCATATTGGTCTAGGCACAGACTCAACCCCACTCATGACTTCTGAGGGAAGAGACGCTCTGGGCTGAGCCTGGGGTTCACTGAGCACCTATTATGGGACAAGTACTCCTGGCTCTCACTGCAGATGGTCTCATGGGAGCCTCAGACAGATGTTCCCCATTCTATAGAGGAGGGAATGGATGTGCAGAGTCCTCAGCACAGTTCTAGCAGGCATAACTCCCTCATCTAAGCAGAGGTGCTGCCACCAGTGTGCCTGAGCCCAGCTCTGAGCTCTGATTTCACATCACCCCAGTGCCACGTGCACAGAGGGTGGTGTCCAGCCCATCTGTGACAGATGAGTGAACTTGCCAGCCAGGAAAGGCTCCCCAGGCTGCCTTGGGAAGCTGAGTCCTTAGGATGCGTGCAGGAGGTTTTGGGGGAGCACAGAACAGGGATGCTTTCCTTTTACCTCCACCACCTAGAAACTGCCACTTTTTTTTTCCCCTGGTGACATCTATGCCAAAGATGGAAAAGCCAACAGTGCAACCTGCAGAGCAGCAAACCTGAGTGGCACTCACTGAGCAGTCCCCGCTGCCAGTACTGGGGTCAGCGTTCATGTCACCCACTCCTTGAGGGCCTGGCAGGTCGGTCATGACTGCTGCTCCCTTTTCACAGGCCAGGAACTAAGACTTTGAGAAGTGAAGATTGCACAGCAATGCTGGAGCAGAGCTCAGGGCCTCTAGCTCTCCTCTCAGTGCTCGTGCTCCATGCTTAGTACCCCCTAGTACCACCCTAATCAGATTTTGTCCTGACTCTAGAAAATCTTTGATTTCCACTTACAACCCATTTTTCCTACCTCCACCCTTTAATGCCATGACTGTCGAGGAAGGGTGATTCTATGTGCCCCCCAGGGACACTGGCAATGTCTAAAGACAGTTTGGGTTGTCACAATTTGGAGGAGCCTACTGGCATCTAGTAGGTGGCCGGGGATGCTACCCAGTATCCTACAATACATGAGACAGCACCCACCACAAGGAGGCACCTGACCCATTGTCCACAGTGCTGAACCTGAAACCCTGGGCTAACCCCAGAATCCTAACTTTTGGAAATTAATCCTGTTGGGGGGAATACATCAAAACACAAAGCAAAGCCGGGCACCCCAGGATGCCTGGAGGCTGCTCCTGATGACATGGACAGCTGAACGCTGCCTCGCCACGCAGCTATTGCGGATGGCTAGTGGAATCACAGCATGCACTTTGATGCTGTCAGGCAGACACTGACACTGGAAATGAGGGCTGAAAATGTGGATGGCTTCTGTGCAATAATGTGAAGCTTACAAGAGAGGAAGATCACCCCCATATCTACACCATTAACACACACACATGCATAACACCTGGGGAGTTAAGAATAGCTATGATTGGGTGGAGTGAGGTTACGGGTAGGGTTTTCCTTTTAATGTTTCCAAATTATGTGAAGCATATTTTGGAATGTTACTGAAAGAAACATACACATAACTAAGGATGAGACAGTGGTCAAGGGAATGGGATCTAGTATCAGATCTAGGTGCAATTCCTAGCTCCCCACTGAATTTACTAGCTATGACAGCTCCCAGGCCCAGAAAGGGATCTTTTGTATTTTTCTTTAGGTGAGGAAAATGAGGCCAGCCTGGTTGCTCAGATAAGTAGGAACTAAAGCTGGGATTTGAACGCTTATCTTCCTGGTTCTCAGTGTGGTGATCTTTCTGGGGCTATGTGTGCACTCTCTGAAGTAGTCGGCAAGGACCATAGGTGCTCCCCACTACAGGAACATGCTCGGTCTTCCTTGGTGGATCAGCTTGTCTATTCTCGTTACTGTAAGTCTATGCCTTTCAAGTGATTCTGAATCTTTTCCAGTTTTGAAGGGCGAGAGAGAAAGACAACAGGCACAGGCTGAGCAAGCCCAAGGACTGAGCCACACTGGTGAGGAGGGTGACGTGGAGGGACGTGTGAGAAGGGGTTGGCGGTGCAGAGTAGCTGATTGAAGAAGCCAGATGTGAAGTCCCCTTTCCAGCACTGACAAGGTGAGAGACGATCTGAGGCAGGGGCCCAGGCTGCAGAGGAAATACAGGACACACAGGGATAGCAAGCGGGGTATGCACCCTGTAACACCAGTGTGTCAGCTCACACGTACAGCTAGGAAAACCAATGGCGAAATGTGAAATTCCAGTTTATGGAGCTCAGCTCCCTCCTAGTGTCCAGCACAAAGGTGTCACTGGAACCGCCACATCCCTCCAGGAAACACGGCCGTGTGTCTTTGGAAGACACAGCAGAGAGATGTGGATTCTGCCTTAAGTCCTATCAGACGCTGACACATCTGGGCCACAGGAAGCATGTGCTCAGTACAATGAATGCCAGAAACACTGGCTAAATGATTGTCCATTTTAGAGACAAGGACACTGAGGACCAGAGTAGCAAAATGACTCATCCAGGGCCGCGTAGCTGGGAAGTCACAGAGCTGAGACAAACTTTCAGGTCTTGGAGTTTTCCGAGGAGCTCTTTAGGTCACGTGTGCAGAGACACAGGCAAAGGACACAGGTGTCCCCTCCATGTTCTGCTTGGGTAATCTTGGCCCACATCAGGGTCACACAGAAGCACAGAGGTCCAAGTCTCAACCCTCGGGGAGCCTCTGGTGAGTGGAAGAGAGGAACAGAAACAGGTGCTCTACCCCAGGGGTGGATGGCGTGGGCTGGGAGCTAAGCAGGGCAGGCAGAGGAAGTGAATCAAACCCATAATCTCATGACAATGAAAGAAGGCTCTGGAGCTGGGCTGCCTGAGATCAAATCCCAACTCGGCTACTCAATGGCTGTGTGACTTTGAGTAAGTTACTCAGCCTCTCTGACCCTTCTTTATCTCATCGATAAAATGAAGGTATTAGTCATCCTTCCTTTAAAGGACTGCTGTAAGGAGTAAATGAGCCTGGCAGCATCCAAAATCTCAACCAACAGTGGCACTGCTATCCTTTAATTCCCAGGAGAAGACGGAGAACCTCCTAAAGGGCTGTATTATGCCCCACATCACTGAGGAGGCTTGCCAAAGTCACACAGTAAATAAGGAGTCGGGGATGCAGGGCGCTGGCTCCAAAGCCTTTTCACAGCAACAGAAAACAAGGGCAGCACAGAGGAGGAGTTGGCTGGACAGAGGGCGAATCGCTGAGAACAAGGGCGCCATCGAGAGACGAGGACCCGCTGCTTCCTCCCACCCTCCACATCCCATCAACAGTCTGCCGGGGACGGGCAGCAGCCTCAGCGGGACACCCCAAAGACAGGGCCTTGGGAGCGCAGCATCTGTGTCATCAGCAATCAGCACATTTTTCCTGTTTCAACTTGAGAGCCAAAATGGAGCCTGCTGATTACAGAGACCAAGCCATAGGGGTTACAGTGCCCGAAGCTGCCTCCCTGGGCCAAAGGCCCCTCGAGAGACTCTGTGAAAGACAGGGAGGGGGACACAGGAAAGAGGCCTGCAGGAGGCACCCCTCCCAGGCCTGGGAGTTGGGCTTTTTTCTATCCCCATGGAACAGGAAGGGGCAGGGAACATAGATCACACCTGAGTAATAAAGCTCAGGTTTGGCTCAGGGCCGTTCTTTGCAAACAGGCCTGTGCTTTGAGGCCAGGTGTGAGTTAGTTCTCCTCTGCTGCTAGCTTTCTATGGAGACTTGGGCATGGAGGTGGTTAGGGGGTGAAGAGAAACTAGGATATAGTGATTTAGGAAATAGATGTATTATAGCAGAAACCCATGAAGAAATATATCATATGTACAGGCTATGTATAAAAGTACAAGGTAGTGATATATATACACTGTAACAGACACACAAAATATATGGATGCTGGTACAGGGGCACCTCCATTCCAAACTTAATTTGTTCCACAATTCTGGAAAAGATTGGCCATGTTTGTGTTTATGGGGGAAAGATGGCCATGGTCATGTCTGTCACCCGACGCAGAGTTCGCAAACAAAAACAGAATTTTGCCAAATATTCCTGTTTGTGAATCAGATTGTTCACAAACAAAAGCGTTTGTGGGCCAAGGTACCACAGTATAGATTATCTATTCATCTACTAGTCATTCATTCATGGAACATTTATTCAGTACTTACTAAGTTCCAGCCCTGACCTAAGCTCAGGCAATACAAAGCTCTCATCTCCGTGGAGCCGACGTTTCTGCAGTGATCTATTCTACCTATATCTGTTTGGGGATGGGATGAATGGTGTCATTGCATGGCTACTAGTGGTGAATGAAAGACAGGGGTGCTTTGTATACTCAACAATGCATAAATAAAATATATCATACACACAGATAAAAGCAATAGCCTATAGTGAGTAGATAAAATGTATATTGCCAGCCTGCCCAGCATCCCTTGAGAGAATCATGAGCCCTGTTAAACTTCCAGGCTGCTCCCCCAGAAGCTCACGTACAGAGTTTGCCATGTGGGAAGCAGCTCATACCATAATTAATGGTTGCAATTAAGATCATCTCCTCTCGTGATGTTCAATTAGAAGCTGATATTTAAAACTGTTGTTCGCTGTTTGTTTTTTCTGCTTAGAGCATTTCAATCTTCAGAGGACCTTTTTCCTGCCTGCGAATGCACAAGATGCTCATGCATCAGTTCTCTTCCTCTAGAGGCTGCCTTGCTAGGCTCCCAATATGAATTTCACCTGCACCACACAGTTCACCCTAGCGACCAGACGTCTCAAAACACCCACACGACTCGGTGAAAATTCATCTTATTTTCTTCTGATTCATAAAGACAGACAGAGACCTTGTGTTATGTGCATCAAGATACATATGCAAAAATTCCCACTGTCTGACACATAGCTGATTTAATAAATTTCAAGTATATATTTAGGAGGTCTGTATAATCGGTAATCAGCACACCCTTCCTGTTTCAACTCACAGATCAAATGGATTTGAATTTCATATAGGCAAGAGTATATCAAAACACCCCCAACACTTAATACATGCT